GAATTTTGATGAATCCCGTCAGAGTCCCACTACAGAATGCCACCGTCGACTTCTGGTAAAATCGTCCTGCAAACCCCTTTAACACATTCACAAGATATTAAAATCATACCATCAAGTGTGCGATGAATACAGACTGCGCCTTGGTAGCATCATGTGTACCTTTTATTAATACGGATTTGTCGTCTCACGATCTTTCTATCCACGTACCGAGTCCCGTCAGTGGTGCTGACGAGGGCGATATGAGGTAGACACTGAGCCAGTTTGGATAAGGAAATATGTTTTGGGGCGCTTGGGGTGGAGAATTTCACAGCAATTTCAGGCCTTTACTTTAATTCTTCGTGGCTAGAATGACGACCATTCTTTTTGACATCACGCGAAAACGGTGTGTCTTGTCAACAATCAAAATTCTGATAGCATCAGCCTGCAAAGTACCAACAAATTTGGTTTTTGACATAATTAGAATTCGGGATTATCAGTAACTCTTGAATAAGGATTTAGTCAGCCTAGCTCTGTTAAGGTGGTTTAAGGACTAACAGTTGGGTTTTTCAAGGCAATGAGATAAGTAGGCCTGACGATAACATTGAATTTCACTAAACCTTTCACTCCAACACGTTTTCTCTTTCACTCTGAACTGCTAAACGTCACCGCAATACTCACGATCCTCTATAAATTTCCGCTGAGGCGAGGTCGAAGCTGCATTCCATCCAAGCGTATTCGATGGCTTTGTGAAGCCATTGTGTAAAAAAATACCAAGTAACAGTAGATACATCAGCTTGACCGACCTGGTGTGATTGATTTCCTAATAAAAAAAGAACTGGTAGTATGAGTAGAGTAGGTTCAAATGTTCAGCATACCAAAGATATGTCGGCACTGGTTCATCATAATCATCCCCGTGGTTGCCTCCCATTCGACCCCTGGCGACCCTTTAGAATAAGGAGTTGTTTCCCTTTTTTGCCTGCCTACTGTAATTATTTTAAGAAAATACTGGAATAAGTGTGAGATTCAAGTTGGTACTGCTGCCGTCACGTAATGCCAAATTAGACATGCAAACAGCTTAGTCTGCTCCACTCCACTTCGACGGCAAGATAGGCACAGATAAATAGGCCTGTAGGCATGCCTATGCAAACTGACGCGGAGACAGACGGGGTGGATACGTAGAAAAAGTGTGAAACTAACACGGACACCAACGAGTAGAAATGCCGATAAATAAAATGTACAGGGATACAGTAAATTAGGTCATACTCAAAAATATGGATAGACATTGAGATAGATAAATGGATATGTATACCAGTAAAATTCGCAAGCACAGACTCACAGATGCAATGGATGACAAGCGAAACACGTACAGACGTACTTATACGTTTTTCCTTTTTTCCTCGGTCTCTGGCTGTTGTCATACCCTTCAGACTCGGCATCGCTGTCGCCTTGACTGCTCGCTGGCAACGGGTTTTGTAGTGTGATGCTATGTCAGAGGAGGGGGACGACTGATTGTATGATTTCGGGCAGCTTGGAAGAACCCGCTCTGGTGTCGTCATGACAGATGCACGCGATTTTGTTTGTCTTCTTGTTGAATCCGACCGGTGCTGTCTCGCCTCGAGACGGGGCGGTCGGCATTGGTTGGAGATGCCGTTGAACAGTGCCCAAGTGGGACGAAGCCCCGGCACGAATGACACTTTGTCCGGTTGTGCTGGTGTCACCGCTCTCCTCGAAGAGGCTGGTTTTGTCTCCACCTCTCGGGCGGGCAACACCGGCCGATAGGGGACACCCTCCGAGGTTTGTCCGTGGGGCGGCTGGGCGTGACGACCAACAGGCTGGGGTGGAGACATACCGAGAGAAGACGCGCAAGCACACAAGTCCGACCAGTTGGCAGTGGGCTGTCAGTACAGCTTTCAGAACGTCTGTGACACATCAGCACGTCTGCCTGCCGAAGTGTTGATGTCAGCTGGTCAAACAAAGTTGTTTTGGCCGCTTCCACACCCACTGCGGCCGAGTCAGTTGTGAATCCTAACTGCGGTCGTCTGGACTCCCGAGTTGTTACTGTCCTACCGACTGACGGCAAACCCATCCGTTTCTCCAACCACTTACATGTCGCTCTTTTTGCCGCAACCCAGTGTCTCCTGCAAGCTGTGCCGATCGGTTGCATCTTCGCTTGTCCGCTAGTCAGTCAACCACCAAACCCAGCATCCGCTTGCTCCATATTTCGCGAATGACGCAAGCATTGACAATGCACTAAAGACAATATTTTAGAATTGACAGCAATTTTTCGAGATTATTTTCAATTCAAGTCGTTTTCGAGACTATCAGTAATTCTTGAGTAAGAGCTTAGTCACCAGAAGTCGCCGGTGAAGAGGGATTTAGGGACTGATAGTTTATTTTCTCCACTAGGAAATGCTGATGAATTTCACTAAGCCCTGCCTCTCAAAAGGCTGTCTCATCCCGACTAGATTTGACTGGATTCCATAAATCCCCCCAGCGAGGCTCGATACCAAGTTATGAGTAACGTGGTGACGATACCACTCCAATCCAATCCGCTATATATCGAATATATATGATCTATTGGTAGTCTCAAAAGCCTACTTATATACAAAAAATAAGTAGTGTAATCGATTGTTATAGCAAATACAATTTTGCTTCATCCGCAATCTCAACACAGAAGGTTGTATAGAAAGAGGCCTGGCCTTCCTTGAATTTCACATCTGCCCTGTGACTCAGCGGTACTCGTGGCAATGTGGTGTAGAGTTTAATGTATCGAGGTCGTACACTGCACTGGAATTATTCGAGTCCTGTTGGGAATGCTGATGAAACCTGGGCGAGGTCGAATTTGCAGTTCAGCCCTGCCTGGATAAAAATGCATTTTGGAAAAACAAGGATATATGAAATTTAATAGAAACAGAGGGGTAAAGCATATATATATATATATATATATATATATATATATATATATGAAACAAGAGATTCCTCGAAACCCAACTTTTCTTCGCAAACACGTGTCTGCTTGATCGACAATCCCGCCATAAATGTGAGTTGAGAGAGGCCTAGCTTGCCTTGAATGTAAATCATATATATATATATGATTTACTGGTAGTTTCGATAATCTACTGATAAGCTAAAAATGAATTTCACTAAAACTTGCCTCTCAAAAGACTATCTCATCCTGGCTGGACTGTATGGCCGCAGATGCAAACGGGTCACAGGACAGATGCGACGTTCAAGGCAAGCTAGGCCTCTCTCAACTCACATTTATGGCGGGATTGTCGGCCAAGCAGAAACATGTTTGTGAAGAAAAGTTGGGTTTCGAGGAATCTCTTGTTTCATAAGTGTTGTGCTTACTTCCATTCCACGTGAAAGTGTTTGGTGAATAGATTCGAAGGTCGAAAAACGTGTTTGCCAATCCAATAGACGACACTACTTATTGTGTATATAAGTAGCTTTCGAGGATATCAGTAATTCTTGATTTGGAGAATAGTCACCCTAGGTCTCTTAAGGTGTTTTACGGGCTGATAGTTAAGTTTGCCCACAATCTGACGAGTTGGCCTTACGATGGCATTAAAGTTCACTTAGCCTTGTCTCCCAAAAGGATTTTGTATACATGCTGAGCTGTTGTTTCGACTCCGACTAGGTCTTGCTGGATCAGCATACCAGACGATGTTCAAAGCCGCGTCCTGCGCATCGGGTAGATGCTTTTCCACTCCGATACAGCAAGAAGTGCCCGTGGATCCTAGAGCAAATGCTAACTTTAGGATGGGCTAGACCTTTTACGAATCACACTTTTTAAAAGTGCGATGTGTGCAAAAGAAACATCAATAG